CGACATCCTTACCCTTGTTTCTTCCTTCATTTTCTCGCAGGATCTTTCCATCCATGACTTAACATAACACCTCCATCCAAGRTCTTTAGGGTCCATATACACCATACCACAACGACTGACGGTGGCTGGTGAAGCAACGGCCAAGTCTTGCACCTCGAACAACATGTGGATGGTGTTATTCAGCTTGATACGTTCACTATTGGCCAAACAAAGCATCTTGTTATCATCCAGTACGGTATTCATGTTCTCGATCCACAGAGCATCGACTGGACCATCACAGATAATCCACTTGTGATCTGGAGTGGTTTCCTGCAGGTTTAATTGAAATAAAAGAAAGTAATGTTGGAAAAAAAAAATCGATGTGATGATGAAGGTGGTGATGTTTCTGATTTACTTATGACAATAAATRGTGGTAGTGACGATGATGGTAATGACGATRTTGATGATATTGCTGATAATGTCGTTGATAATTTTGTTCGAGATAATGGTGATAATTGTAATGATGATGATGGTGATGATAATGTTGACAATGGTGGCGGTGTTGGTGGTGATGGCGTTGGTGCTGGTAGTGCCGGTGATGATAATAGTAATGATGATGGTAATGATAAAGCACTAACCTGTACACACTGTCTGACTTTAAGAGCCATTAGTCCATCTTTCCATTCCATTGTCAATTTATTGACTTCACCGTACAGCTCACCCATGGTAATGGACTAAAAAGAAATCGATCAGGTTGTCATATATCAACTGATAGAAATCCMAACATGAATGTTACACGTCTGGATAACGTTATGTAATGCTAACGAGCATCATACACATGACAAGTCAAAAAGAGTACAGGTAATCAACGCTAACCTTAGGATTTAGGATGTGGGTGTGGACCGGTAGATAGTCAGGGTTATCAATACCCTGCGCATGAAGACTGGTCAGTGTGTCTCTCAACATCTGCAGTAAAACAATGGATTGGTATTAGCAAACTAAAAAACTATACATTTATGAAGAAATACAAAACGCGCGCGCGTGCTGTGTACAGTTATAAAGCACGCGGGGGTTGGCAGAGCACGAGAGAAGTGTTAGGAGAAGCACGACGCGTAGCATCGGTATGCGGTGCTTTATRACTTGACACAGCACAGCAGACTAGTTTTTAATTTTTTTTATAAAATACGAATTACAATAACCGTTATTTTAGATAGGAATGACGCCACTGAAAGTGCACGCGCCTGCTGTGTGCTCTCATAAAGCACGCGCTCACAATCAATCAGCACGCAAGATTTATAACAGTTATTTTATAAATATTAATAAATAACTAGTTTAATCAATTCATTTAACCGTAATGCCTTTCCATTTTAGAGGACTTCAGAAAAAATATCCCCCTCCAGAGAATAAAATTCTATACTTGAAAACTAACAAATTGTACATCTTTGTAAATGACTACCTAGCTACAAATAGACCCAACCCATTTAGGAGCAATGTCTTTTCTTTTTAGAGTTCTTCAGACCAACTATTCCTTTGACAATTAAATTCTGTGCTTGAGTTGCATTTTTAAAGCAAGCATAAACAGTTTTTTGTGCATGGGATTTCTAGAAATCACTTAAACATCTTTTCCTTGCGCATTTAGAGATCTAGAGGGGTGATATAAAATGTAGATGAGGGATACATACGTTCATGTTGGTTGTCTTCGCACTGCCAGTTGGTCCCACCAACATGACACCATGACGAACAAGCATCGTCTCGTAAAGCTGGATGACTTTCTTTACAAGGGATGGTAAAGGCTGCAAAAGAATTACACGAGGGTCAAACAACAGCAGCAAACAGCAAAAACAGTAGCAGCAGCAGCAACAATAAGAACCGCATCAGCAATGACAGCAACAATAGTTACAACAGCAGCAACAGCAACAACAGTAGCAACAGCCGCAACATTAGCAGAAGTAGCAGCAAAGACTGCGGTGGGAAAATGGTACATTGCCTCCCCCCCCTCCACCTATAATTGAGACCTCGCTACACCCCCTGATCTAGGGTTTAGAGYATATAAAAAACATCAAATCGTCAAACCTGTAGTTTAGCAGCCACCATACAGTCCTCAATGGTTGATTGTAATTTGCCATAGTCATGATCTGGAATCTCTTTTCCAGGAAACAAGTCMGACAAAATAGCCTGTCATGATAAGATGGTACAAGAAACAAACATTACTAACGAGGCYGAGGTAATGTTTTCTCATTTCAGATCACGAGGACTTCAATCTCTTTAGTACCATTCCTTTGTCTTCCGTTAACTTTGAGAAAGTAATTGACTGAACATTTCCTCATTATGTGTCTTCTCATGCGCAACCGTTAAACATAGAAAAAATACTCTAGGAAATGACATGGTGTCTGAAATGGGGAAAACATTACATCCGAGCTAAATTGGTTAATCAAAAAAAAAAAAAAGATATTATTTATTTGAAGTTTGAAGATTGCGGAAACTAAATGGCAAATATAAATGAACACTGAAAGAGTTCCTTACCCTAAACAAGATGGCATCTGCAGACAAGAACTTTGGTAAGTTACTATCTCTTAGAGCTCTGATCAGCACTACATCTTCAATCAGATCGGGGTTGCCTCTCTTAAGGGCACCGGCCATGACCAGCACAGACTTGACAGCTCTCATACCGAAGTCATAATGGTCTTGTTGTGAGAGTTGTTCACTGCAGAGTCTGTACATCTGTACCATCTTACGAGCCAGGTTCTTGGAGGACTCAAAACCTTCTGAGTACAGGATGACTTCAGCAATCAAGGCTGGAAAACACAAGACAGGCAAACTATAAGTAACATCCACCTATCCATTTATTATTAACCAACACCCTTCAACACCACAACCGGCAAAGTTATTGGCAAGGCTAAGGTACGGAATTGACGACATCCGTTTAACCAATCATATTGCAAGTGATTTATCAGTAAATCAAGCATAGCCGTCACGGTCACGGGACGTCAATACGGTAGTTTTTCAATATTATAGATACCCAGTTGCATCCGTTGAGCAACCAAAGAAGTGGATGGGGAAAAAAAAAAATAGTTGGAACAATAAGAAGAGGGGGCYGGAAAGAAAGGTGGAAGTATAGAAGAAAGGGGCCGGAATGAAAGGCAGAACTATAAAAGAAATGGCCTRGAGTGAAAGTTAATACTATTAAGAGAGAAGGCTGGTGTGAAAGGTAACACCATAAAAGAAAGGAGCTGGAATAAAAGGTGGAACTAGAAAAAGGGGGGGGGGAGGGGTCGAGTGAAAGGTGGAACCATCAAAAGAAGGGGCTGGAAAGAAAGGTGCATCATTACATACCATAATCAGGCACCATCATAGACATSGGTCTGAACAAAGCCTTCAGGTTATCAGGTAGTTCAGTACGTCCAGCATAACCAGGATTCATRGTGATAAAAGCAGCACAACTTGGAACTAGTTTGATCTCACGACCCTCAAACATGAAGCGAGAAGCCTGTGGTCAAAATCAAATATAAATTAGATTACTATAGACTTTATGAGTAATRAAATAGCTGTCATAAATCTTGCTCTCTGATTGGTCGAGGTGTAATCCTGTTTATTTGWCCAGGAGCTTATATCAACGTAGCCACATTCCTACGGAAATTTTCCTTTGAGTAAATACCGCGATAACTAACTACCCCTTACCTTATTGACTTTAGCGTTCCTAATGGTTAGTAACTGCTGCGCGATGACAGACAACACCTCGATGTCGATACGATTGAACTCATCAAAGCAACACCAGGCACCAGATTGGGCCAAACCAGAGAAGAATCGACCCATCATCTGTTAGTGGAAACAAGCAAATTTGTTTGATGAATATCCCATGGCAAACTGATGGGAAAAGAGTAAGCATATCACTATTCCTAACCTTGAAATCCAATCCTTCGGAACAGTTGAATACGACGCAYTGTTTAGCCAGAGCTTTTGCTAAGTCCTGAAATAAAACATCATCTATTAGACATTGTTAGACCATATCGTAGAGTTTGCGAAAGACAGCGTAAGACAGCAAAAAAGGCACAATAAGGTTAGAATGGTGAAAGCGACAAAGACAGCAGAAGAGTTATGGCCGTATAAACGTAAAGACAGCAGCACTTGCTCGAAGGTTTAAATTACTATCCACAAGGGCGGATCCAGCCAAAATTTTCTTGCGTCAACACAACGGAAAACAAAATATAAAAGCATCGTTTTTTCTGCTGAAGGGGGGGGGGGGGCTTCAGCCCCCATTTGCCCCCCCCCCTGGATCCGCCCTTGATCCAGGATGGCCAAGAGAAGAAAACATAATAATTAGTAACACTTACCTTGGTAGTCTCAGTTTTGCCTGTACCAGCTGGTCCTGCAGGCGCACCGCCAAGATCCAGTTGAAGCGCTCCCATTAGACACAAATAACAACGATCCTGAATAAACAATCAAACGAAGTTAAAAAATATAGACCTTTTTGTACAMACAGACCCGTGTTAGGTACGTTCGAATGTTACCAATACATGTGCTTAAAGATAGGACAAAAATGTACTTGAGCGCTGGCATATRTTTTTCCAAGATAATATATCATAGAAAGCGCAATACTGCCTAACATTCTCCACTGTTATTTAGTAATTAGATTTTTTGAGTCCTCCTCCAGATGTTCTCCGGTGTTCTCGAGCTTTTTAAGGAGATAAACAATGAGTCAGGATATTGGGATCTTAAAAAATTACTGTTTCGATACGTCATTACTTACAGTCAAAGGAGTGATGACCAGACGAGGTGAAGCACCGAGATACTCGTAGCCATAGATGTACATAGAGTTAGACATGCGCACGACGCAGTTATCCAGATCTGGGTCCCAGTAGTAACGAAGCTGCTTTACCCACTCAAACGTCGTATCACTGTCAACCTGAACAGAAAACATATCAAATATAACATAAATAAATAATAAACTTTATTTCTATAGCGCACTTATCCTATGCTCAAGGCGCTTAACATGCCATTGAATGTACAAATTACTAGGTCATTGGAGTAATATTCTGTYAATATTGTAGGTCATCAAGGTCAAGGACAAAGTTCTTGTGAGCACACTGTTAACCGTCCTGGGAAGAGCTGCGTTTGGAGGTCGCTGTCTAGATTGGCTTTGCCTTTTTACTGCAAACTTTTAGCATACATTTTGCAGCTTGCTTTCTCAATTAAACCTAAAAATATCACCAATCAAGCAATTCAATTACTAGCTAGTTCACCTTTTTYTCCACCAAGCCTGACACGATGTCTCTAGCATGCACATCAATGGTGATTAGAGCTCCTAATATGTTACGAGTCAGTTTGGGCAGCTCACCACGTACAAGGGCAGCAAGCTTGTTCAGGTTCTGAATAAGAAATAATTTGCATCCAATAAGTAATGGATAAACATTTAACATGGATCCCCGAATCTGTGCGCTGAGAGTAAGATAAGAAAAATTTCCCCGGAAAATGCGCGCAAATTTATTTAGAGTCACTCTTCATGACACACCCTTTAAGGGACTCGATAAATATTGAACCTTTCTCTTTCAAATCGCTTCTCCCGCCTTCTCTCTTTTCTTCGGTCAGACTGACGCAAATTGCAATGTTAACGAGTTACACGTTAATTTTCTTTCGTAAAAGAGAACGCACATACCTCAAAGGATTTATTTTCTTGTTCTTTCATCGCTTCTAAGCGRTCACCATCTGAAGTCAGACCCTCGGTGATATCACGACACCACATGGTCTGGGATATTGTCAGTACAATCTGCCAGCAAACAACGAAGATGTTTGAATAAAACTTAGAGAGGGAAACACACGCGCCTTCCTCTAAGGCCTGACGCATGCGCCAAGGCGGTTTGACTACGCAATGGTAGCACAATATTTGGAAGGATAGGAAATTCTATTAGAGCTATTTCCCCAGGGTCCAACTAATCAGCGTGCAGCTTACACTTGATTTTACYACACTCAATAGACCTTGGTAACACATGAAATTCTCCAAAGTGTGAAAGTGTTTGACTGTTTGTGAGTCAAGATAAGAAGCAATTTTTTGCAATTCCAGATGCAACATGGCTTTCAATTATTTTAAAAAAATTTGTTCTTTGTGCACATTTTCAGCATAACATTAATGGTTATGAATATTCAAAGAAACATTAAACATGCAAATTCGGCGTAAAGAACGTTTTGTGCGGGTCCAACATCCAGTTAACCGAAGTCCAGTCCACGGTTCCATATCTTACAAAATAAAAATCTCAGTGCAGAAAGCAAAAGTGCAGAATTTAGAAGCATAAATCAAATTTTGGAAATTGGATATGCTTTTGCTATACCTAAAAATTATCCATACCCCTTTAAAAAGCATAAAATTCGACAATTGTTTTTTCGATCCAAGATCCAGTAAACCGACCTCCAGACCAATCCCTCAGTCAACTCGATTCTTTACATGACTACAGAACTACATGCCTGACTATATTTAATATATTTTATGGACAACTTTGTTTCCAAATCAAACAAGTTATTAGATATTCATTACCTGACTAGGGTGTAGAGTAACCCATTCCTCTCTTGGTCTTGATTCATAGTCAGCTATTGCAGCCTTGGCGAGACGCCTCAAAGATGTCACCATACTCTCCTCTACTTTACCTAGCCAGTCCTCTACGTTGCCTCTTGCTTTCAGACCCTGAGAATAACGACAACGAATTGTAAGAATTTAGCGTTTAATAAAGAGTGTTAGGTTTTGSGAGAAAAACAATAAACCCAGAGAAAAMTGCTAAAATCAAGGGACACTCTACTCGCATGTGATGCTSAGTAGAGCAATCGAACCYGCAAGCTCTAGAGGCGAGAGGAGAGTGTACCACCCCTATGCTACCCTAGATGCCCTATAATTAACATTGAGGTATATACCTTTCCAAGGCTGACTTTCTCCCCTTCAGGTGAAATCATCSCAAGAATATCATTGGTCATCTGTGTTTTACTGGCAGATGCAGCTGTTGATATCAAATGTGCAATTAGTCTCATACTGACTTTTCTTAAAAGTTCTTTGACGGGTTGCCTGTGTTATCAGGCATACCTGCGGTATTTGCATATGTGAGCCATCGGGTGAATTATTGCTTTATGTTCATGCAGGGGGATAATGATCATTCTTAACATAMGGATTACTTACGTCTTTCGATGGGCGAGACTGGTTTGTCTTGAGGAGTAGATGGTGCCTGAACTGCTGTTCCAAACTCCAGCCTAACAAAATGATGACGCTATTAATATTATGCCAGGAGTAGCGAGGTCTCAATCATGGGGAGACAATGTATCATTTTCCCGCCAAATCCACAGGAATCCCGCATGAATTAATTAAATTTTTGTGCCGRGTGCAAACTTTTTTTTGGAGATAATAGATACATACATTAGCAAATCAGTTATGCAACATAAAATCGACTTACTTCGAAATTGCATCAAAGCATTTCTGTAGATGTGGTTGAACAGCATGTGGGTTACGAGTTTGTGAAAGAATCTCGAGGAGTTCATCGTTGGACAAGAAATAGAATCTGTAGACATGAGAAATTATCAAATTCGATTATTAAGAACCTGTAAAAATAGTTTGACAGACAAKGTTCTATAAATTGGTTTTGGTAAGACCTGTGGCGGAAAATTAGCCGAAATACCTAGGGCGAGGGCCAGCATGTTTCGCAATTTATCTTGAATTTAATTTATCACCCCAGGTCGCTCCAATTTTTGGCCACAGGTATTCATATAAGAAATTTTTTTGTTCCAATCTGTAAGAGACATCTTATGTGTTGTATTCAGTTACCTTGGAAAGATKACACATTTAGACTCGAGATACGCTTCAAGACACTTTTGAATCTGATCCAGTAATGCGTTGTTATTCTGGAACGTCTCTAGCAAACCTTCAAAAATCCAATACTTGCAATCAGTAGATGYTAAAGTAATCAAGTAAATAATACATTTTTATCTAAATATGAGGAAGATTAAAAGCGTGACTGAAAGTGCGCACTTGTAGCATGGATTTGAATTGCGCTGACACAAGTGTGCAGTTTCAAAAAAGCCCAGAATCATTGGTGCGCTAGTAAGAGTTGTCAAGAAAGCGTGTCGCAAAGGGTGCGCAAAAAAACAAAACAAAAAAAAAAAACACCAAACAACAAGAACAACAAAACAACAACAAACGAACAAGCAAAAACAAACAATAAACAAAACACAAAACAGCAGAAACGCCTTATTCTTTAGTGTGCATAATAGAAGTTTTGAAGAGGGTTTGTGCTTGTAAATTTATTTACCTGGTTGAGTGGCAGCCCGCAGAGCATTGGGTAATCTGTAGACTTTCCTCATGATCTCCTTCCATGATTTATCCACCGTCATGAACATCTTGGCCTCGGCAGGTAACTGCCTCTGGATGTCAGGAGCACTGAAAATACTCTCCAAGTACAGCCAGTTTCGTTGACATGTCATCCACTCATCCTATTTAATTATAACAATATCATATCATAGATAAGATAGCCTTTCAAAACAAGGTAGCATAGGTTTTTATCKCTATATAATGTCACTCGATCGTGATATGGAATAGCATCATTTACTACAACTACCAGGATCCCTTGCGCACCTCCTTTTGTTTATTTCATTAGCACAAATGGTCTTAATATTGTTATGAGGAAATACACACTTGAATCGCGAGGAATTTTGGTAGTGGTAGTTTAAAAGATGACATCATTCAAAGGGCAATACCCTTGTGAACCAATCCCAGGGCGCTCAAACATTGTTTCTGCTAATGGTCATGGTACGCCCGTGCCTTAGCTCATGTAAAACTTGCTATAAATGATCATAGGACAAAAAATCATTTACTAAACTGATAGTGGTAATTACAGCTACATTTCTTACCAATGTCTCACTGAAAAGGTGTAACTGTCTYTGCCAGTCTTCTACTCGTGGTTTAATGGGTCCGACATGGCGTGATCCTGCTATGGTTGATATATTGATCTGCACAAACAAGAATATCAGTTTCRGAAACAACAACGAAATACCTCATATTTGGTGTACTTAAAAATAATTTCATCTTATCATTAGCGTAGTGGCTATGCTTGTGAAGAGACAAAGACTCACCGTACTGTCATCGAGAACAGCCTGGATGTCATCTACACCACCAAGAATGAACACRTCCTTGGAATCCCGGTGAGGAAGAACTATAAACTCTGTAGACTTCCACGAATCTTCCACCTGAACAGGTTAAAAYATTGGTTGATGGATTAAATGACTATTTTTATCTTTCCGTTATGAATACCTTTTGTCATCAATGTAGTAATTGCGAATTTCTTTCATTCTTTTCTTCTCATTTTGTTTCTTCCCTCCATTCCTTCAATCTATCTATCTTTTCCCCCATCTTCATTTATTTTTTCTTTTGTCTATTTATTTATTCATTCATTCGTTCATTCTTTCGTCATTTTTTTTTTTTTTTTTTTTTTTGCTAATCGAAAGATCTAATATCACTAGAAGAACTGCTGCAAATCCTTTACTCTCAATCTTGTTTTTGTAATAGGGTATAAGGATAAGGATTAGAAACATGACCATCTTGCSTACCTTCTTAAGTATTCCCTCCAGGGATGCTTCGCTCGATGCCTGTCCAGACACCTCCTCAATCGATTCAGTGTGCTCAAACGCTTCAATTTTATTTAAGAGGCCAATAGTTAGAGGCTCTTCTTCCTTGAAGTGATAGTTAAATATCTGTTGGATCTGATCCCAGTGGCGCTGCTTGAGGGCTGGATTCCGAAGATTTGTGATGACAGGAAGCTGATGAAATAAAAATACAAAAATGAATAAAATACAACAAAACAAAATATTTGGCATCGACATTCACAAGACTGACCGATCCTTATAATCGTCCATTCAGATGGACAAACGAATACAAAAGAGAATGCACGTGGGAAAGAACAACCTAACGAGCAAGCGAACTAACATGCGCAATGAACGAATAAACAGACAAAGGAGCGAGGTAACGCGCACAGGCACACGCAGAGGAACGAACAAGCAAGCTAACGCTCACATCCATACAAGAACAAACTGACAAAAACGCGAACGCTCTATCACAAGAATGAACCGACAGGAAAGAACAAACGAACTGAAAGAGCGAAAACATCAATGATCGAGCCAACTAACGCACACACGCACGGACACACGCACGGACACAGCAATGAAAGACCAAACTAATGAGCGCATGAAAAAACGAACTAACAAAGAAGCAAACCAGCGATCCCACCCAAGAACGAAAAAAAAAAGATTTTAAAAAGGCGAAATAATGTGTGCACGCGCCCTAACGAACAAGTGAATAACCATCAGCGCGCGCCCTAACAAACGGGCAAGTGAACCTGCCCACGTATGCCACGCATGCGTAAGTGGACGAACACAAGGAAAAAATCTGCGTGCACACAATGTGATCTAGTTTTTTTGTCCTTATCTTACCTTGTGTCTCATGGCGTCTACTTTCTCTTTAAGAATCGGTACCACTGAGTTGGGAGGAAGACCCTTCTCAAGTTGCATTACTGTTTTGACGTACTTCATGACGCTAGTGTTGAGGGCTTCAGGATCCACCTCGTTGAAGGGCGTCTGAAAAAAAAAAGAAATAAAAATATGAAGCCATATGTTATGGATATTGAAGTGATGGCATTTTCTGGGTCCAACGGATACGCGAAAACCGCTTAAATGAGGCCCAGAAATTCTTTTCCTGCTGGCACAATAAGTTAAGTAAAATACCTGCCACTAAAAAAATCACAAACAAACGATTAATTAAAAATAACAAAACAATCTAATTTTTCAAGCTATTCAAACGGTCTATCGTTGTATATGATCGTGGTCTAATGCCGTGGTGTATAAATATATATGGAATATCAGTTCTTACCTCGACCCATTCATCATTAGAAACATCCCATTCAACCAGGGAATTCCACAAAGACTGCTTGAGTTTAAGTTCGCTATGAACGATTTCAAGCTCTTCATATTTCGTAACCTCCACCTACAATACAAATGATGCTTGCTTGAACAAAGAGGTTTTTCATTTATGAGCACATGGAGGGGGGGTTGGCAAAATAACATGGAAAGCTTTACAAACACAACCCAATCTCCCCTCCAGGGTTGATGCAGCCATTGCATAATCCCCCACATCCTGCAAGCTTTTCAATATGTTTTAAAATGTGAACCACTTTCTCAAAATAATGTCATGCCCCCTACAACTTTCCTGACACCCCCCATGAGCTTATGAATGAAAGCCTCCTAATTACAATAAAACAAGACTCTCCTAACCAGTCATCAGAGAGGAAAGTCTTCGTTTCACACAAAAATAATACGAAGAAAACTTTCATTCTGTGGTAAACGTGGTAAACGTCATAGTGCGTTGGATATCAAGATTGCAGTGTCTSGCAGCGCAAAAACTGCAGCGTATTTTTAGTGAGGCATAGAAGAACACATAGCGCAGAATCCGTTTTTCGCACCTTGAATTTTTTCTGGTGAGCCTTATACGTCTGTGCTAATTCTTGYAGTTCGTCCATCTTGACCTGCAGTTCTCTGAGATAGTCTTGAACATCTTCAGGTTTGGAGCTGGAATCCAAGATCTTTGGGTCCTATTAAATGAATGTTTTTGCAAAATTAATATCATAGCTCCCATACTTAAAGGTTTTCTTTAATAATATCAGGAACAAAAATGTTCGTCTRTAGGATTGCTATAGGGTCGAAATTTCTTCGTGATGTATAGCCTGTGAGACAAATCCCTCGATTCCCGCATGTTGCTCGGAATAGTCCCTTTCACAGTTCAATGCGCGAAGCGAGACGAACAGTGAGCTTGCAATGATAGAAAAATTTTAATAATTATTCAAGGTGTTAAAAAAGGACTCTATCATGGCGCAGAGAACTGTGAAATCGAACTAGTTGTTTCTGAGAAAACAATTTGTTTGAAAGAACATATTCAATATCTTTAATGAATATCCGAGCACAAAAACACCTTAATATTTTAAAGACACGTTATTACATGGTTCGTACCTGGGCTTTCTGTTTGACCTCTTTGACTTCTTTCCCCAGGAGTGAAATGTCCTTATCCATACACGTGCAGAACTTATCGATGTTGGCGTCCCTCTCTGCGAGAGACTTGTCGATCACATTACGCACTGTCGTCACGGTGGGTCTTAAAGTCTACATGCATTGAAATAATTACATGAATAAGA